ATGGGTGGTGCCCACAATGTGGGGATACGTGTGATATCTTCCACACGGTGTGGGCATGTCCGAAAATCCCCACCTACCCCCTTCCCCTACCCCTTCCCGAGAGGCATGGAGACTGCCCTCCTCAACTGCTCATCACTAGAGTCTCAACGGGCTCTGGTGAGACGGGCGCGAGTAGGGGCCTCGTCATGCGGTGTCCCGGACTAAGGACGCTGACCATGTAGCGGGGTCATGCTTTGGCCCCGTACCTCTCTATTTTATAATAATGTTTTTCATCATCATCATCTCGCCGCCTCCAGGTTCGCTTGCCGGCGCAGCCATGCCGCTGCAGCTTCGCGAGCCCGCAACTCTGGTTCCGCTTGTCTGCGTTGCTGTGTTGCAGGTGCTCTGAAAGCCCTCAAATACGCATGCAGTTTTGATGATGATGATCGACGAAAGCCACAACCATGGCTGATACCAGTGTTGTGGACTTGCTAATCCAGAATCGGAATGAATTCGGAATCATTCCACATTTTGCGGCCCGGAATGGAAGGGCGACAAAACGAGAATGGAATTAAGCGCATTTTGCATGGAATAGAATGGGGATGAAATTACGTGCTTTTCCGAGAATTGAGTATAATCGACCACGTTCGCTACATTTCGTACGTTTTTGTAAATCTCCTAGTCTTACTTCGTATAACAGTTCGATGTGTTGCTATCGCATTCATCGCTATGGCCTTATGTCGAACAGTGTCATTTTTGCTGGTTTAAAATACTAGCCATGTTCCTTTGTGAACATAATGAATATTTGTTTCAAATCAAGCATTTTGCAATTCTTGGGCTAATTAGAAAAATGTTACATTGTCATTTTAGCTCTGCTTTCATAATAGCTGCCTTATTATACGTAAACAAGTTCAAAAACAATTTGATTCGATTGTGTTCTGAAATTCGCTATCGCGCACTCTAGCCACTAAAATTCATGAAGTAGTCGCGCACTTCTGGCCCCGGAAAAACATAAGGGTCGTTTTTGGCCATTTTGCATGCCTGTAATATATTCACTCTTGTCTTTTTCAGAAAACCAGTTGGAAATAAATCACGTAATCCAGTAATTGGTACGTCTCCGGACAAATATAACCCTGCCTTGAATAAATATAGCTGAGAAGTAACAGACAACAATGCCCAGGAAAGTATAGGAGGTTGTTACAAGAAGTAATAGTAAAGTAAATTTTTAGAGTGAAAAGTGGTCGAAAAGCGGTTGAAAAGTCTCGGTCCCTGCGGCTGGCAGGGATCCGAACCTGCGACCTTCGAAAAACGGCTTCGCTGCTCTACCAAATGAGCTTCAGTGGTGGTCGTCTACCCGTCTAGTTTATGATGTGCTTTGAAACCTGAGAGTACTTGTCAGCATCACTAATAGTTATGACACAGTAGGAGCACTCTTTTCCTGCCTGTTGTCTTCTCGTAGCACGTGATCTTATCACAAACTGGCAGCTTAGAAATAATTTTTTTTCTATTTCACCTGAAGGCACCAAATCGTGGAAAGAACTGAAGCAGGTTTCAAAAGTGTGCAGAAGCCTAAAAGCTGTGAAGGCAGACTTCTGAATAGGGGAAAAATCGAATGTATGCGTTGTGGAACAAGGAAGACAGCGTCATAACCAATCTGGATAGGATAGTGGAGATGGCGGAGAATTTCTACAGAGAGCTGTACAGAAGTCAAAAGAACCAGGATAATATGTGAGAAACAATAATGGATCAGATGAGTTTGACATCCTACCAGTAAAGACAGGGGAAATAAGGACAACCCTAGATGGAATGCAAAGATACCAATCTACTGGTGAGGATAAGGTAACAATGGACCTCCTGAAAGATGGCGGAGAAGTTGTGAAACTAGACATAGGCAAAAACCGGATGTATTCGCTGAGGGACAAGGAAGGCAAATAACTAGCAACAAGAATAGGGATAGTTAAAATAGCGGAGGAGGTTTAGAGAGATCTGTACAGTCGTCGGGACAACCACGACCTTATTACAAGAACTTGCAGTAACCCAGATGACATCCCACCAGCAATGGTAGAAGTGAGAAAAGCTTTTGAAGGGAATGCTTAAGAGGCAAGTTGCTGGTGAGGATCAGGTAACATCAGATCGGCTGAAAGATGGAGGATAGATCTGTGTAGAAAAACTAGCTACCTTATATAAACAGTGTCTCTTGACCGAAAGGGTGCCCGAATCTTGGAAGAATGCCATCATCTTAATCCATAAGAAAAACAGACGTCAAAGATTTCAAATATTACAGGCAGATCAGCTTATTATCCATTCTCTACAAACCATTTACAAAAATAGCGAATAGAGTTAGGGTGATTTAGAGTTAAAGCAACCAAAGGACCAAGCAAGGATTTCTGTACCGGCTATTTCGCAATGGACCATATTCATAAAATCAATCAGGTAATAAAAAAATGTGCAGAATACAAGCAACTGATACATTGCTTTCATAGATTCCGAGAAGGCGTTTGACTCAGTCAAAACATCAGCAGTAAAGTTGGCACTACAAAATCAGGGCATCGAAGAACCCTACCTAAACGTACTGGAAGAAATCTACCAAGGATTCACAGCCACCGTAGTTCTCCTCAAAGAAGGTTACAGAATACCAATAAAGAATTGTGTAAGGCAGGGAGACATGATCTTTTCGATGCTATTCACGGCGTGTTCACATGAGGTATTCAGGACCCTATAGACTGGCAAGAGTTAGGGATAAGGTTAATGGAGAGTATTTTAGAACCGGTGATTCAATGGTGACTCTTGCCTTGATGAGTAACTCAGAGGACGAATAGAGTTTATCATTGTTAAACGCTCACAGAAATCAGAAAAGTAGGCCTGAAAATTCATCATCAGCATCATAATCATGGTAATCATCATCATCATTATCAGCCTGACTACGTCCGCTGTAAGACAAAGGCCTCTTCATGTTCCGCCAGTAATCCCGGTCCTGTGCTTGCTACTGCCAATTTACACCCGCAAACTTCTTAATTACAAATGCCCGCCTAGCCTTCTGTCTCTCCTTGACGTGCTTGCTTTCTCTGGGAATTCAGTTAGCTATCTTAATGACCAGCGGATATCCTGTCTACGCGCTGCATGCCCGGCCCATGTACATTTCTTCTTCTTGATTTGAACTATAATATCCTTAACCGCCGTTTGTTTCCTAATCCACTCTGCTCTCTTCTTGTCTCTTAAAGTTACACCTACCATTTTTCTTTCCATTTCTCGCTGCGTCGTCCTCCATTTAAGCTGATGATGATATGTGGGGTTTAACGTCCCAAAACCACCATATGATTATGAGAGACGCCGTAGTGGAGGGCTCCGGAATTAGGCGTCCTCCTCAATAACCCTATTTGGTAGTCCTCAAGTTTCTGATCCGTAGCTAGTACCGTCAAGATACAGCTGTTATATACCTTCCTCTTGAGGGATAGTGGCAATTACCTGTCATAATTGAGAGTGCTTGCCAAATGTGCTCCACCTCGTTCCTATTCTTCTAGTTACTTCAATCTCGTGGTTCGGCTCTGGTATTACCTGCATATGTAAACATAGTCATTTACAACCCGAAGTGCACTCTACCTATCTCGAAGCACTGCTCTCTTCCGAGGTGGTTGCACATTACTTTCGTTTCTCTGATAATTTTAAGACCCACCCTTTCTGCTCTCCTTGCCTAACTCCGTAATCATGAGTTGCGATTCGTCCCCTGAGTTACTCTGCAATGCAATATCATCGGCAAAGCGTAGGTTACTAAGGTCACTCTCCATTAACTCTTATCCCTAACTGTTCCCATTCTAGGCTTCTGAAAACCTCCTGTAAGCACGCGGTAAACAGCATTGTTGAGATTGTGCCCCCTGCCTTACACCCTTCTTGATTGGTATTCTGTTGCTTTCTTTATGAAGCACTATGGTAGCAGTTAATCCCCTGTAGATTTCTTGCACGGTGTTTATATATACTTCATCGACGCCCTGATTCCGCAGTGTCTGTATGACGGCTGATATTCTACTGAATCAAACGCCTTCTCGTAATCTACATAGCCTTCATAAATTACGAGAAGGCGTTGGATTCTGTAGAAATATCAGCCGTCATGCTGAAAATTAGTATGCGCAAAGCTAAAGTATAGTGCAATAGTCTCGGCAGAAAACACCACTTTGCGATACGTGGAGAGACACTGTAAGTTAAAGGAATATGTCTACTTAGGACAGGTAGTAACAGCAGAGCTGAACCTTGAGAGTTCAATAACTCGGAAAATAGGATGGGGTAGATAACATTCGGCAAGCATTCTGAAACTATGAATGGTCATCTACCAGTAATACTAAAGATGAAGGTATATAACAGCTGCATGTTGCCAGTCTTTACTGCCTATGGAGCAGAAACCTGGAGGCTTACAAAGAGAGTTAAGCTTAAAGTGAGGACGACGCAGCGAGCGATAGAAAGAAAAATGATAGGTGTTCCTTAAGAGACAAGGAGAGAGTAGAGTGTGTCAAGGAACAAACCGGGGTTAAGGATATCATAGTTGAAATCAAGAAAAAGATAAGGACATGAGCCGGATACATAGCACGTAGGTAGGATAACCGGTGGCCATTAAGGGTAACTGGATGGATTCCCATAGAAGGCAAACGCACGAAAGGGAGACAGAAAATTAGATGGGCCGATGAGTTAAATAGTTCGCGGTTATAACGTGGTAATTTAACGCGCAAGACCGGGTGGATTGGCGGATCATGGGAGAGGCCTTTGCTTTGCAGTGGGCGTAGTCGGGATGATGTGGATGATGATGATGATGATGATGATGATGACGACGATGATGCATCAAGTCTGCTAGAACAAGACCCTCACTGTGACTGAAGGAGAAAAACAAAAAAAATCAAGGGCTTGTTTTTGTTTTTTTATTTTAAACAAATTTATTCAGAAAAAGAAGGCTTTGATGTCTGTGGAAGTATACGAGATGTGGTTGGAGAATGATCCTTGTCAACCTCTTCTTTACGCTACATTTTCATTTACAGAAAGTCGTGACCTCCCAGAATCCTATACCGTGGAGACACACTTCATCACCGCTCTAAATCACACCGCATACTTCGGCAATGAAACGAAAGAGCGCATAGCCTATGCTATGCTTTTTATGCATTCGGTAAGTGAGGACAGGAACGCCCAGGAACTTCAGTGTCGCTGTTGATGTGATTTAAACGGGAGTCAGTACTCAAGGTAAAAGTAGCTAAAGTAGTCAAGCCATCCACTCCTATTGCAATATTTGTACGCAAATTTAGAGAAGTGGTATTATCTAACACGTTTAGTGTTGACAAAGAACTAATGTTATTTTGAATCAGTGATAAAATGAAAATAATGATTGATTGATATGTGGGGTTTAACGTCCCAAAACCACTATATGATTATGAGAGACGCCGTAGTGGAGGGCTCCGGAAATTTCGACCACCTGGGGTTCTTTAACGTGCACCCAAATCTGAGCACACTGGCCTACAACATTTCCGCCTCCATCGGAAATCAGGGGCAGAATAAGATTGGAACATTCCAGGCAACCACTCAGTAGAAACGTAAACCATATAATAAAGTTTTTCCCGAAGTCATAGGGCAAAAACGATTAGGAAGTTATCATAATTCCAGAACACCTTTAGGTTGTGTCATGGGGTCGAAGATGCAAAGCAAATCTTCATTTTCTCACGGGTTGCTGTTTTTGTCAACTTCAAATGAGCACACGTGCTCATGTGAAGTGCATCTGCATTAGAAGTTGGCCCATAGCGTCAAGTTTTTTGGCAGGCTACGTGAACAGCGTCCTAGCCACACGTTTGCCAACATGCACGCAACGTTGCCCATTTTATCTTTGCCAGAAAGCGCAGCTCAATTTCATCTCTGATTGGGAAGTTATGTGAGTAATTAACACCATGAAATTTTTTGATTTGATTGGTGAAACCAACGACGTCTTCGCGAGTTCCCCACAGTGGGTGAGAGTAAAGCCAGATTGCTCCAATAGTTTGTAAAACTATTTAGGTGAACAAGAACGAGGCCTTTGTCACTATACCTTAGCAGGCGTGCCATACGTTGCGTAGAACTATCTGTCTGAGCACCAGGCTGCTTGCGGGCGCTGTGCACGCGCATGCATCGACTGGCACGTCAGGAGAGCTTGAAAACAGAAGGTAGTCCTTAGGCTTACTCGGAAGTTTAACAACAAACATTTAGGTAAATCGACCCAAAATGAACCAACATCGAAAGCTAGTGCAGACAGAATGTAGCCACCATTCATGCCGACCTAAAATTTTAGTCGCCAGGCTCAGTCTTAAAGCAGCTATATTGGCGTAATGTAGCCACGTACGACTTCTCTGAGTGGCAGTTTCTTTAGTAAACTACACTGTCGTATGTTTGGCATCAAGGAAAAGTGGCGGTGTCATAATCCGAGCCACGCGGGCGCCAGAAACGACACTCTGTGGTTTTAGGCCTTCAATTCTTTATCACCCGCCATGCTGGTGTAGTCGTCACGGTGCTCAACTGCTGATACGGAGCAGAAACCTGGAGGCTTACAAGAGGAATCAGCTTAAATTGAGGACGACGCAGCGAGCGATAGAAAGAAAAATGATAGGTGTTCCTTATGAGACAAGAGGAGAGCAGATTGGGTCAAGGAACAATCGGGGTTAAGGATATCATAGTTGAAATGAAGAAAAAGAAATGTACATGAGTCGGACACGTAGCACGTAGGCAGGATAACCGGTGGTCATTAAGGGTAACTGGCAGGATTCCTATAGAAGGCAAACGCACGAAGGGGAGACAAAAAATCAGGTGGGCCGTTCAGATTAAATAGTTTGCGGTTATAACGTGGTAATTGAAAGCGCAAGACCGGGTGGATTGGCAGATCATGGGAGAGGCCTTTGCATTGCAGTGGGCGTAGTCTGGATGATGTAGATGATGATGATGTTGATGATGCATCAAGTCTGCTAGAACAAGACCCTGACTGTGACTGAAGGAGAAAAACAAAAAAAATCAAGGGCTTGTATTTGTTTTTTTATTTAACAAATTTAATCAGAAAAGAAGGCTTTGATGTCTGTGGAAGTATACGAGATGTGGTTGGAGAATGATCCTTGTCAATCTCTTCTTTACGCTACATTTTTGTTTACAGAAAGTCGTGACCTCCCAGAATCCTATACTGTGGAGACACACTTCATCACCGCTCTAAATCACACCGCGTACTTCGGCAATGAAACGGAAGAGCGCATAGCCTATGCTATGCTCTTTATGCATTCGGTAAGTGAGGACAGGAACGCCCAGGAACTTCAGTGTCGCTGTTGATGAGATTTAAACGGGAGTCAGTACAGAAGCTAAAAGTAGCTAAAGTAGTCAAGCCATCCACTCCTATTGCAATATTTGTACCCAAATTTCAGAGAAGTGGTATTATGTAACAAGTTTTAGTGTTGACAAAGAACTAATGTTATTTTGAATCAGTGATAAAATGAAAATATGTGCACAGTTTTTTTTCCTCTTTCTACGTCTTCAAGTCCCACGCTAGTTGCAAATAAGTGAACGAATTGTTTGTTCTGTGCGCCATCATATAGTCTATGTAGAACATCTTCACTGTCAGGGGCAGAGTAAGATTGGAACATTCCAGGCAACCACTCAGTAGAAACGTAAACCATATAATAAAATTTTGCTCGAAGTCATAGGCCAAAAACAATTAGGAAATTGTCATAATTCCAGAACACCTTTAGGTTGTGTCATGGGGTCGAAGATGAAAAGTGCATCTTCATTTTCTCACGGGTTGCTGTTTTTATCAATTTCAAATGAGCACACGTGCTCATGTGAAGTGCATCTGCATTAGAAGTTGGCCCATAGCGTCAAGTTTGTTGGCAGGCTACGTGAACAGCGTGCTAGCCACACGTTTGCCAACCTGCACGCAACGTTGCCAATTTTATCTTTGCCAGAAAGCGCAGCTCAATTTCATCTCTGATTGGAAAGTTATGTGAGTAATTAACACCATGTAAATTTTTTATCTGAATGATGAAACCAAAGACGCCTTCGCGAGTCCCCCACAGTGGGTGAAAGTAAAGCCAGATTGCTCCATTACTTTGTAAAACTAACTAGGTGAACAAGAACGAGACCTTTGTCACTATATCTTAGCAGGTGTGCCGAACGTTGCGTAGAACTATCTGTCTGAGTACCAGGCTGCTTGCGGGCGCTGTGCACGCGCATGCATCGACTGGCACGTCAGAAGAGCTTGAAAACAGAAGGTAGTCCTTAGGCTTGCTCGGAAGTTTAACAGCAAACAATTAGGTAAATGGACCCAAAATGAACCAACATCGAAAGTTAGTGCAGACAGAATGAAGCCACAATTCATGCCGACCTAAAAGTTTAGTCGCCTGGCTCAGTCATAAAGCAATTATATTGGCGTATTGCAGCCACCTACGACTTCTCTGAGTGGCAGTTTCTTTAGTAAACTACACTGTCGTATGTTTGGCATCAAGGAAAAGTGGCGGTGTCATCATCCGAGCAACGCGGGCGCCAGAAACGACACTCTGTGGTTATAGGACCTTCAATTTTTTATCACCTGCCACGCTGGTGTAGTCGTTACGGTGCTCAACTGCTGAAGCGGAGGTCGCAAGATCAAATCAAGATCAAGATCAAGAGCAGCGGCAGCCTCGTTTTCGGTAGAGGCGAAAATGCTTAAAGGGGTAGTGTCACAAAATTTTGGGGCTGAGAGAGCCTGCGGGGTTGATTCTCGTGAACATTCGTATGTCATCTAGAAGATATCAACAGCGAATATAGTCTTGAAAGGTATTTTAAATTCATTTTGAAGTTTGTTCGAGCGACCAACTCCTTAGCGCTGTAGACACCATCGGAGGGGACCCCGAGGTGACCCCCTACTTCCCTCATGTCACCACGCTATTGTCAACAAAACAAGTTATGTTGACTTCATAACCGCCTTTTTTTGCCGCGTTAGTTTTCGCAGTCTATATTTCTCAGCGGCTGGTTGTGAGTGTGTGGCCGTGGCGCACGCTGAGAAAGTGAAGTGTTTGGCGACATTCCAGTCCCGTTTCCTACCCGAAAGGTATTCTTTATGCAGACCGTGCGGAAGTGCGTCACAGTTTGGTGTGCGGACGTGGTCAAGAGCTGCACACTCTATGGCTACTTTTGCACTCTGTTTTTTTGAAAATCTCTCAAACCGAAACTGAAACTGATTGATAGTGAGGGGCCTGTAATCAATTATCTGTCGCGTGCTGCAGCAAATGATGCGTCGTGTCATGACTAACAGGCTCCCAGCAACGCCTTGCAGCAGAAAAACGCGAGGCCAAGGCTTTTGCGTCACTACCTCTTTAAGGCCCATGTACCCTAGATTGAGATGCACACTAAAGAATAACACAACAGCATACAATTAGCTTTATTGAGGGGTGATTCGGAAAGTCCCTTTACTGGAGAGGCGCCACCACGGGTGACTCCCACGTCGAGACGGTCAGGCCATCCCTGATTACCGTGTCGCTGGCGTTCTGGGGGTCCCGTAACTGCGCAGCGAGGTTGGAGCTGTAGAGCGCTTTCTCCACACTCTGCTTCCGTGGTGAGATGATTGTTGTACCGTAAGAAGAGACACCACATGACCATGCGCTTCAAAGTGCAGAAGGGCTGTCGGAACTGCGAAAATAAGGCAAGGGTGGTCAAAGTTTTGAGAGTCTTTCACTACCACGCCTCTCATATTGTTATCTATGTGCTAGGACGTTGAACATCACATATTATTATTAAACTTTGGAACAACACTTTTCGTTTTTGTCGGCAGAACTACCACATTAAACACACCTGCGGTGCTCTCCTCGATATATTCCTCGATTTTCTTGAGTTCTGGCATGGTCTATCTGTTGTTATGAAAAGTGGTCGGCATTTATGGTTCCCAAGAAGCAGTAATCGTTCTAGTCGTGATGCGGCGGTGAAGTGACAAGAGCACAAACGCAGGCAGTCGACGCCAATGTGCTTTCTCCAGGATTTTCAAATGCATTCAAATGAGGACTCGCATTGTATTTCTTGCAAAGCAGCTTTTCATTAAAAAAAATTCTCGTCACTTCGGGCCAACAGCATTTTAGTAGAACGTTCAAGATTTTCCAGATGTTCTCGAAGCTTTGCGCAACAATCCCATGACTGGACACCTTGGATATTTCCATATTGCAACAAGCGCCCAAAAGTACAAACACTTAGAAAGGACACATGACGAGCACTCCCTTGTACTTTTTAACGCGATAGCGTTAGAGAGCTCGTGTCGCAGAAATCCCGCCATCGGTGTCAGCCCCGTTGTTTGTGAGCGAAATATAGTCTGTTCTTCTGTGACCGAAAACTCAAGTCACCAAGATCACCGCGGGAGGCCACTACTTGTCCATGTGTGCGAACGATCCCACTGAGAAAGCCAAACATTCGAAGAAAAAAAATAAATGCTCAAGGTCACGAGGCGCGATAGTTTCTCTGCCCTTGCCACGCCTCCCTGCTTAACTTTCAGCGCTTTCGTCGGGACTAGAGAAGAGATAATGCAATGGCAGCGTGTGACAAACCGCTGTAACTCTACCCGCACTGTGGAGTTACAAAGGCAATATTTTGCCAGGCAATAAGATCTTCTAGTGAATTAATTCTATGGTTACTTGAAAAGTGTTTCAGGGCCCCTTTAACGCATTTGTTCGACAGGTGCCACAACGAAAACGAGCCCACCCGATGATTAGTAGGCGCTTGTGGGAAGCCTCAAACTACGTCGAAAAAGACCGGGATAGTGCAGCCACCGCCGCTAAAAACACACACAAGAACTTTCAAACAGCTCTACAAACAGTCAACTATGTCCATCCAGCAAAAAACATGTGATGCCTTTCTAAAGGCGCTGATCAAGCAAACAGCAAATGCTAGATAATTTGCCGTTATCTCTGAGGCATTGTGAGGCTCTTTATTGCCTCCAAGATGGCGTGCGCACGGGGTGTATCTTGGATGCCTTGCAGCTCTTGCTTTAGATAAAAAAAACTGTATATACCATTCGCGTGCGTGCGCTGATATGATCTGCTGTGTGCGTGTGTGTGTATGTAACACAATATATGAATAAGTAAGCACTTAGTGGTTGAAGAGCGCACTAGAGGCCGAATTTCGCTATCACGTTCAACTCTTAAAGGTGAAGCTTAAGTGACCCCTATTTTTGTACTTTTGGTGCTTTTTTCATTATGAATTCATACCAACATGCCGTACTGGCAATTCTAAATGAATTTTTCCGTGTGCTCGCTAGAATGTATGAGAAGTATTATTTGCCTCGCCTCCCGTGTCACTTACGGTGTCACTTACTACATAACGGCTTACCGAGACCATAGAGACGGAATGCACCACCTACCAGGCACGCCGAAGTTCTCCTGTTCATCAAAGCCCTTCGCCGACCTTTAAAGAAAATAACGTTAGCAACTTTGACTTCTCGAAATAAACGAATCGCCGTAGCCACAGTGTACATCTCCCGCTACACCGAAAAGAGGGCCCTGCCGAACAGAAGTGCCGTCGAGGCAGCGAAATTCTTTCTTCAGTACCTCGTTCTTCATCATTGTGCTGCAGAGGTTCTCGTCACCGGCAGTAGTGGGACCATTACGGCTCACCTAACGTAGCCTATCATAAGATGCAGCCATACAAGCCACCTACTACTTATAGATCAATGGCACCACTAAGCGTCCCGTCTAAATAGTAAAGGATACTTCGATGTCTCGGTGCACTTAACTAAGTAAGTTGTCCCCGCCAGGAAGCCGTACTCTGAGTGAAACTGGGCATGCATGAAGGTAGGGCACCATGTGCACCCCAAGCTTCTCTCCCTGTGCGCTAGCGAAGTTTAGAACTTTATTCTTCCACTACCTTTTTTTAACATACGTTTCTTTCTTCAACATTGTGTGCCTTTGCTGAATAGAGACCATGCTTTTTCATACAAGAGCAAATACACAAGCGCTTTTTTAATTTTAACGTCAACGACCCATTGCACGTATAACCATCTTTCTTACGCTCGCAACGCGTGAAATGTCAAACATACCCGCTTGCAAAAGACAAACCATGTCAAACAAACCAGCGTGCACACTAGGGCAAACGGACCCGAACCTAGGTCCGTTCCGTGTCAGCCCAGTGTTCTACAACTTAGCAATGTCGGTCCTCGAAAACCTTACGCACAAACATCTTATACGAGTAGCATGCCGGGAAAGAACAGCTTTAACATACGCAATATAACGTGATCGCATAGTAAAATAACCAAGCATCACGCAGTACAACCTTTGTAACCAAGCATCACAAAATATAAATTCGATCACGAGTGGGTTGATGGATGCTTCCAACCCATTAAAAGGGGCTCAGCGATACTTCTTGATCGTCTTCAGCCATTGAATCAATTAATAGAGCATTGCGTACCTTGCAAGCGTACTTGTATTAGTAGCGCCATAAGAGTTTGCAACGTTTTCTAGAAACAGCACTCTTATAGCTTTCACTGCGGCTTTGCTGTGGCTTTCTGCGCAGACCTGGTGTTTTTCTTACTTTGTTTTTTCTTAATATTTTGTGTGACTGTGGTTACAGACATCGGTAGTGGTGGTGGCGGACAACTACAGCAGCCTTACTGCTTTACACTTTTCATAACAGCGTTTGTTGTAAAATTAGTTTGACTGATATATATATACGAAAGGCCCCAGCGGTCACCCTAGGACTGCCACGAACGGCCTCCACTGACCATTTACTTGGCAAGGGAGCTCACATATGGTGGAATAAACGAAGCACTCCCCTCTACAACCAGGTCGACAGACTTGAGCTCTCATGCACAGGACGAGTAGTGCTACGGCATGATATAGAACCACCCTATAAGCGGACGAAGAACATAAAGGCAAGATACCGTCACAGCTCTGAGAATCCTGCACATCCAAATCTCACGAGAAACGAAGACACGAACCAGCGGACTTCAGTCCAATACATTCGCGCATGGCATTTTATTGCATCATGCGAGATGCAGCTATATCTGCCCACGCTCCTATATGGTAGATACTTCGTCACACCGAGTGCACTGCAAAGCAAGCGACCCAGCGCTAAAAAGGGCAGCCACAAATGTCGACGCAAACCACCCCAGAAAATACTGGGGGGCCGCGATCTTGAGGCAGGACCAGGTCCAGTAGAGTCAACTCGTCGCCAGAGCCCGGCGAGCTGTCCGGGGGAGATGGTTCCTGCATTCAATGCCCCTCCCACATTTTATCGCAAGCGTTTGTACAACAGACGCCTTTCATTTCTCTTTCCTGTGCTTGTGTGGTATGCAGATTTTAGAAGTGACAAACGCTGCTTTCTCCAAGTCGGCTTTAGTTTAAAAAAAAACGCTTGGTAAATACTGATTCCTCTTTTTATCACGAACTGATCTTGCCTTTGACTGTTTCAAACCTTTTGCGAAGGATTCAGAGGCGATGTGGAATGACTGCTGCCGTCTTACTGCGCAGTGCTTATCATGATTGATTGATTTGTGGGGTTTAACGTCCTGAAACCACCATATGATTATGAGAGGCGCCGTAGTGGTGGGCTCCGAAAATTTGGCCACCTGAGGTTCTTTAACGTGTACTCAAATCTGAACATATGGGCCTAGGAAATTTCCGCCTCCGTCAGAAATGCAGCCGTCGCAGCCGTGATTTGAACCCATGACCTGCGGGTCAGCAGTCTAGTACCTTAGCCACTAGACCACCGCGGTGGGGCCAGTGCTTATCATGACGAGATACATACGGAAATTATGCCATATGGTTATCCTCAAGTATATATATCCAGGAGAATGTTCTGTTACTTTCCTCTTTTTCGAACTACATGAATACCTAAGTTAGCCTTCATGGTTACTTTGCCTAGGTGCCTACAGTCGGCGAATATAAATACATCCACATCGGAAATGATCAGTTGTGATTTATACAGAAGCCTACCCTCAACTTGATACATTGTCACAATACCATTATAAAGTGCGGAACCCTTTTGGGAGACCGGGCTAGGATATGTTGCCATCGCTAGCCGTAATTACCTTAGCCAAAGACACGTATAACATTAAAAAAAAGGCGATACAAGGTCAACATTGAATGACAGAAAATAGGAAAAATGTGAAGAAAACCAGAAGTGCAAGAAAGAGGAAAGGAATAAGCAGAGAGGAAGTAGGAAGAAAATAACGACAGAAAAATACAGAAACACGAAAAAGAGAATGATAACGATGGAGAATGAAAAAAGAAATAAAAAAACAAGGCTGCCAGTTTTGCATTTTTTTAAACTTGAGACCATAGTGCAAAGCTGTCTTACATTTTTTTGCTATTTTTGCTTGTGGTACACTATTTGTTCACAGCCATAGATGCACAGTTTTGTTTTGGTCTACCTTTGCAGGTGAGCCTCCGCTTGCAGCAACTCGTGCCCCCCGCCAGGATAGCGTTAACAGCAATAGAAGGGCTGCAGGTAACGAAGACACGTTAGGATATTTTGCGTCCATGCTGATCAGAGCATTACCTTTCAGGCCAAAACAGACTATCTACATATACATGACGACGGACGAATCATGGTAGATCAAACATTGTCTGCATTGGGGAGTCTGGCACGTACCAGCGAAGTACACAAGAAGTCCGACATCCTATATATGGCAGTCAGGTAATTGTACACAAAGTTTATTACATAACCTAAACTACTGCTTCAGTATTGCATGGAAAATGCTACCAGAGTCCATATTGCACCGTGGAAACTGCATATAAAACACCAAGAGCAGGTTGTGCTGGCTCAGTGGCCTTCACCGTGGAACAACAAATTATTGCTGCTACCGCTTCATTGCTGGAATTGTGTGCATGCTGCAAAGGCTAAAGTATTTAGAGGTGCAGATTCTGTAGTAAAAAATTACTAATAGGAGAGTGTGGGATTCCTGAATACAGTGCAAGGACACAGACAAATAAGTGCAATTTTGTAGTTGTACACGTTGAAAGGATGAATAAGCTTGATGTTCTGATTCATATTCTATAAATGGTGACCTTTTTGCCTCCTATGCCTTTGGTTTCAGAACTATCAGTCGGTACACCTGTGCTAAATAACACATTGGAATGTAAACTCACTCTTACCCAGCCAGCTAAAAGAAACAACCCCGCTTAATTCATTGTCTCGTATTTTTTCAAGAGAATGACTTTCAACAATGATTACAGCAAGAGACTGTTTTAAGGCGTGTCGACTGTTTTCACATAAACAAGAATGACAATATGTGCGCCGTCGGTTAGCGCCGTTCAGTATATGGCAATGTTCTGCCAATACAGGCCCAGACGTGCAGACTCAATTGAGTTTTCACGCATTAGAGGCGAAGGAAGTATTTCTTTGTGAACCAGGTGCACATTTATTTGAGTCTCTATTTTTTTCCGAAGCTAAGATCGTCGGTTCATGGCTCTACGCGTTGCAGGCCAGCAAATCCACGCGGGCATTGCTAGGTTTTTTAAAGACAACCGGAACGTGACCGTTTCTAGGCGTGCAATGGACAAGGTCACATAGACGATTGGAACTTCACTGCTTATAAGCGTGCAATGGACAGGCTCACATGTACCCACATGTTGCCCTTCACTTCTCTCTTTAATCCCATCAACTTTTCCCCCCGTGCTGGGTAACAACTTGGACAAGCGTAGGGTTGCCCTCTCTGCCCTTCATTTCTTCCCTTCTGCATCCTAATCTATCTATCTATCTATCTATCTATCTATCTTTCTGTCTGAACATCCCAAAACCACCATATGATTATGAGAGACGCCGTAGGGGAGGGCTCCGGAAATTTCGACCACTTGGGGTTCTTTAACGTGCACCCAAATCTGAGAACACGAGCCTACAACATTTCCGCCTCCATCGTAAACGCAGCCGCCGCAGCCGGGATTTGAACCCGTGACCTGAGGGTCAGCAGCCGAGTACCTTAGCCACTAGACCACCGTGTCGGGTGCAGCTATCATCACATGCTCAGGAAGTGCCCTGTCTTACGGGTTGAAGATATAACATCGTCCTAGTGGGATGCTGTGCTATGCAGTCTGGATTTAATGACACAACTATAGGCAAAGCAACGGGCCCACGACAAGGTAGAAAGATTAGGTGGCACCGGCTATGCGCCAGTGCACGGCACGATGAAGCTAAATAAAGTTTTTCCATAACATACCATACTTATCTAGGCTATAACGAGAAGTAATTCCAATTAGCGAAACAACCAATACGCAAGTAAATGATTCCAGATTTATTTCATTTTTGTTTTGTAGTCACAGCTGTCATCTATAAAAAAACGTCTGATGTCTGTGAAAGATACATTTTATTGTGTATACCAACATGAGTGAAATCAATCGGTGTGATATGTCACGTGTAAAATGTTTCTTTTTTTCTTAGTGCAGGTCTGGTTAAAATTAGACGTGGGAAAAACCTTGGCGGTACTTTAGGTAAGTGACTTAAATTGACAGCTTAACGTCTGCCCTATCATGTATTTGCTGGAGCGGGTTATCTCGATAGAATGTGCAGTGGTTGACCTTCATATCTCGAACTACGCAGCATGAACTCGGAACTGTACAAGCGACATCTGCAGTGATAAACAAGCCCCACCTTAGCAAGCGCGGCGCCAATGACGAGCTTATTTTGCATATTTTATCCTTGAGTGTCACCACGCATGCAACACCCAATTTGGCCATCGGAGGCTTTCTGATCGGTTTAGCGCAAAAAAAGTGGACCATTCTTGGCATGATATGGTATCATGAACCGAGAATAAATTCGCAGTATAAAATTCACCAATCCAGTAGATCATACTCTTTTCACCGCGCTTCTGACAGCCGAAGAAGTTATCATGGCCGCGGTGTTAAACAAACAGGGCATCTGCAAGTAAGGAACATTATCGGTGCCGCGTATGCTCTGATATGGCTTGTTCCGAACTGCAGATGTGACTCGTACGGTTCAGAGTACGACGCATAGTCGTTCTATAGACATGGCTTTTGACCATTGTACGGGGCCTGCAACAAAGTTCTCTTTTGGCTGATTTGAAGAACGTTGTTTCTCTGTTCATGTTTTCTTACACATTTTTTCAGAAACTTAATCTTTTTTTTTACGTTCTGCAATATATATACCGCAAAGCTAAACGCAGACCGCAAACTGCCCTACAACAAGAATAGGATAAATGTAAAAGCATGTAACACATCCCAATGTTGCAATTTCATTTTACGGTATTCTCCAGTGGTCAAGGAATGAAGCCATGAGTCAGAATTTTTTAAGAAGCGATGATAACAGAAGTTTATTCTCCTACAATATAAAACACATTTTTGGCACATGTGAGTCTTTGAAGGAAGTCTCATTTTTATTATTATTTAACTTATAAGTCACTGAAAGCGGGCCTTATGCCGACACTCCCAGCTCAAGTGCTGCACGCGAAAAAAATATTTATTTTTGTAGTGACATGAAAACACATTTAGGCCTGTGCAATGAACTAAAGCAAATAAGAACGGATAAATATTCAAAACATGGTAAATAAATACATCAAAATATGCACTAACAATATGGGGGTACCTTCGTATTACAGGCCCCCATTGTAAATATTCTTGCACGATTTTGCTTATTGAAGTTCAATACACGTCTACTAACGTTATAAGAAAATATGTCAATTTTGAATGAAAAAGGGTTTCTCAGAAAAAAAGCACTGACTGTGCGTGTGTGAAAAAAATACCAAAAAAGAAGGTATGAGAAAATCAACAAGAACGATTTAAAACAGGCTTAAGGCTTAGACAAGGTGATCACGAGCGGTAAAGTTTTCAGTGCTTGTACTCAGTTGTATCGTCGACCTGCCTTCGCTCGAATAACAACTCTCTATTTTCAGTCTAGCCTGTAATGTAGCATCAGTGCCATGACGGGAAGCTTTCAAGCTGCCGTGCTTATAATTTTTAAGGCAAAAGTTTGCAGTGTAGAAGCGCTGTATTAATACGAATTCATCTAAAAATGTAATTAGTGCTTCTGTTACTATTATAAATTGAGACTCCGTGTCAAACAAAGCAAACTTTATGGTTTACAGGACCATGTTCGCGTCTTTCTTTGTGAACAACACGTCCACCACGTTACAAGTTCACCCGATGAAAAGTTTATGGCTCGCATTGAAATTTCGCATAGCATGATGTGTGTCCGAACTAGTCCCGTAAAAAATATTGGGAGCGATCGCAAGATTGAGCACCGTAAAAAGTTGAGTGTGGGACAAGAATTGTTTACAGTATACCTGTGTCTTGTAGAAGAGAGCGCGCAGGTCAGACAGGCAGGTTCCCCAATGTAAGACGTCAAGAACATTGCCAGAAGGGAGGAAGTGTAGAACAGGACAGTTTTTTGGTTTGTTCTGGATGTTGGAGTCAGCCAGTGTTTGAAAAGGCAACGGTTCTCGTGTCCCAGCCTGACGAATGCACTAGATTCATAATTGAAGCAGCAATGGTCGCTCGCGGCAGCTGCATCAGTAAACCGCCGATAGCTTCATCAGAAAAAGAATTTGCGTATTTTGGTTTCTTGAAGTCTCTTTGTTTTCGTCGCTTTTTTTGCCTGTGTTCTTGAATAAGCATGTTATTTTATCTTATCTTTTTATTCATATATATATATATATATATATATATATATATATATATGTGTGTGTGTGTGTGTGTCTGTGTGTGTGTGTGTGTGTGTGTGTGTGTGTGTGTGTGGTGTGTGTGTGTGTGTGTGTGTGTGTGTGTGTGTGTGTGTGTCGCGTAAGAAGGCAGGGATGGTTAGGAGAAGTAGAGGAGAAAGAAGTCAGATCAGAGCAAACATGAAGTATGAGCCGGGCCACGTCGCCCAGTCATCATAGCGTCACACGAGCCGACAGGATAAAGACGTCCTGGCCACTTCATCAGTGTTTCATCATTGAGGCAGATCTCCACAAGACGCTCTGACCATACATCGACTACGGAATCTACTCCTGGCCGCTTACAGCGACCAGCACCATGCCGGAAACATCGACTGCCCTTCCCATCCCCAAGTACACCGGAGCAGCGGACGATGGACCTGTGCAGGACTGGTTTGACCTATTCGAGCTCCACGCAACCGCTGCATCATGGTCGGAACGAGAGATGATCATCAACTTTACCGACTACGTCTCCGGTGAGGCCTTCAAATTTTACCTCACCCACATATTTCAAAACGATGTGTCATGAGAAAAGATAAAACAAGAAATGATCATTTGGTTTAAAGAAGACAATGACGACTACGACGAAGATTCGCATATAACCGACCATCCACAGACAACCGCGCTCGGTCGCCGCAGTCAAAAGCCCTGCTCACGTATTGGGACACCAAAAATGAATCGGCCGTTGAAACAAGAGCAATTAAGCACCCTCTCAATGAAAGGCAGCCATATCTGTTTGCAGGAAGAGTGTACCCTTCACCGCACCGCGTTTTGCAGCTGCCCGATCGAAAACCAACCTTTACGTCATCACTGTACCGTAACAATAAGATTAGGGAGCCACCCTGTGCACAGTACTTTTCATCTCGCGCACTTCGACCGCCTCCTACTTTTCCGTCACTTGGCCCTTTGGTCGCTCACAACGCCCACCTCGCGTCTCACGCGTTCACTATGGTCGGAATAGAGCGGAAAAGCTCCGAGCGTACTCAGCCGAGCCCAGGGTCTACCATCCATATTCATGCATCAGAACAGCTTAACTCGTTAGTTACACAGAAAGACAAACATTTCCGACTGAAATCTGACCAAACTACGCCTGCTGCGGTGTCACCATCCAGTGCACAGACACCTGGGGGTCTTAACAACACAGGAGGCTCGACCATCAAATCGCACACGTTGCCGAGAGCCAGAGGCGTCCATTAGGAACGGCGTCACAAGAGCCACCGAAGAGTCTCCAGTAAATTCGAGCGCACAACCTTCATTACCCGGAGTGCAGCATAACAGTCCACTGACTACCATCCGCCACTGTACACCACATCAAGCTGCCTAGAAAATCAGTGCCATGGTCAAAAACGGCTGCCACCTCAGCTCCTACCACAAGAGCACTATCAATGCCAGCTGAAGCAAGCCCAAGAACAACAGAGTCTCCATGGGCTACACCAACAAGGACGACTACGAACGGAAAAATCTTTGGAAGAACATGCGAGGATTAAACAAAGGCGTCTACAAGCGGGTCAAGTGAAGTGACGACAAATTCAATATGTCTTGCTTAAGACAAACAAGTCTTCTAATTCAAGACATTTTCGCAAAAAGAAACATTGCACAAGTTTTCTCCAGAAAATATCAAGATTCAGTCTACAATCAAAGCTGTTCAGACAACAGGACACAAAGTGACGAAGAAGGCGTAAAATCACACCCTGTAGTACGGAAGAACGCAGAAATCACCGCATCAGTCTTGGTCAACAAACACTCAGACGGATGGCACTGCATGTATACCAATATAGGCAAAGAGCACGACGCCTACGAAAATCATGCTGCTGGTGCTCCAAAGCCTTCACACCACGTTCATTCTTTGCAAGTATACAATCAGTTTTATCATCTGCAGTTTCAACGTTCATGGTGTACTTGTGTTTTTCAACGCAACAGTCAGCCTCCCCCACCAGAACTCCAGCGCTTACCGGACTGATGCACTCTCCTGTGAAGCTAAAGTGGGTTTACGGAAAATCCTGGGACATGGAACGATCTTCCCTTTTTTGACTGCGTTCACTTTTTAGTCGTGCATGTTCAGTTTTCAATTTCTGTTCGTCTGACGCAACTTCTTTCGGAGAGAGGGGGAATCCTGTGACGTAAGAAGGCAGGGATGGTTAGAAGTAGAGGAGGAAGAAGCCAGAATAGAACAAACATGAAGTATGAGCCGGGCCCCGTCGCCCAGTCATCATAGCGTCATATATATATATATATATATATATATATATATATATATATATATATATATAACTATATATATATATATATATATATATATATATATATATATATATATATATATATATATACAGTGTCTACATGTGGACGATAACGATGATGGGGCATTTAGTGGGCACGAGGTAGTGGGCCTCTAGCTTCTCTCGAGGCCCAAGAAGACGGCCTTGTGGCTCAGCTGTTGAGGACCCGCTGACTTCGTCGTCCTAAGGTGTAACAGTGTTTTATTCGCATTGTACCGTGACACTGCTGGAAGTGCTGGGCCGCAACCCTGTCTGATGCTCCACACGCCCGCTGGGAGCCGCTCATCAAGTCCAGACGCATTGTCACCTGTAGAAACACCGGTGCATCGCTCCAGTCGACGGTTGCAAGGCCTCGCAGCCAGAGCTGACTCAGTCACCGGAACCTGCTAGGCACCACATACCTCAACCAATGGCCAACGCAAGTCCGCAACAGGTGCCCCAAGGCAGCTTTCTGACGCACCCATCTCAGGTGACCATCTTTCAACCCCGCGTTCCCGATCGC